GGAGGGTGCGTGTGCATGATCGCACATGTGTGAATAGAGCAAATAATAATTTATAAATTTTGGCAAAGAGAATAAAGGAGTTCTTTGTACTATTCTTAAAACCTTTCTGTAAGTCCAAAATTAAATTATAATAAAATCTTAACACAAAAAAGCCCATTCCGAAGAAAAAACACCACCTCTCTTCTTTATCTCCCCAACCTCTGGGACCCCTTTCACATACCTAGAAGTTTTGAGATAACACAGGATATATGGGGAATAGCTGTGGATTTGGGAGTGAATAAAGGATCAAAGATATGAACAACATTTAGGGAGCAGGGTTGAATGATAGTCCTATCCCTTTTTCAGTGACCTTTGCCGAAGTATTTAACCTTTCTGCACCTCAGTTTCTTCCCTTGAGGATAATAATAGTACCTGCCTTGTAAGGTTCTGCTTTGTAGGGTTAATATACATAAAGCACCTACAGCAGTGCCTGGGTCATAATTCACATTCATTTCACCTGTTCACATTCATTTCAGCTGTTGTTACCATAGTTACTGGGGCAAGCCTCCCCCAGCAGTACTTTGCTTCTTAAAGGTTGACATATCTACTCTAAATAAGTACCATTTATTCCTAGAATATATACGATACCCTTTAACTGAGGTTTTTTTTTGTGTGTGTGTGTGTGTGTGTATTCTTCATTTTTCCATAGTCTGAACTGGTTTAATCAGGCAGGTTTTATTTTCTTAATATCTAGCTTATATGAGAGGATTGGCCTTATTTTTGGAGAGAGGTTAATAAATTGGAACAGTAAGCACTTTGAGGTCTCCTGCCTTCCAAACTGGGGTAATATAGCAGAGATAGCAAATGGATATTGGGAACAGGGACCAGGTTTTGGAGGGTGAAGTGGGGGAAGGGTCTGGTATAATAAGTATATAAAGTTTTCTTTTTTTTTGAGACAGAATCTCACTCTGTCTCCTGGGCTAGAGTGCAGTGGTGTCATCATGTCTCACAGCAACCTCAAACTCCTGGGCTCAAGCTATCCTCATCCCTCAGCCTCTGGAGT